TCTAATTGAAAAGTCCCAACCTTCGGATAGGCCCGGGCAGCGCTTGTCGAACAGCACTGCGGATCCGAAGGTTGGGACTTTAATCGTGAAAAACCGCCCGCCCGCCGCAAAACGCAAACACCGCAAAACGCGCAAAACGCACGCCCAAAACGCCAACGCAAACTTCGCAAAAAAAAAACAATCGCCCGCCCGCCGAAAACCGCAGAAAAAACGCACAAAATGCCTCAAAAAAAAAAACGCGCGTCCGCCGCAAAACACAAACACCGCAAAAACGCAAACACCGCCACCGCAAAAAAACGCCCGCATCGCCCGCCGCCAACCGCGAAACGCTGCAAAAAACGGCCGCACGCCGCGAACCGCAAAACGCCGCAAAAACGGCCGCCCGCCGCAAACCGCTAAACGCCGCAAAAAACGACCGCCCGCCGCTAACCGCAAATAACGGCCGGTCGCCGGCAACCGCAAAACGCCGTAAAAAACGGCCGACCGCCGCAAACCACACAACGCCGCAAAAAACGGCCGCCCGCCGCAAACCGCAAAACGCCCCAAAAAACGGCCGCCCGCCGCAAACCGCCGCTAAAACGGCCGCCCGCCGCCAAACGCAAACAGCAAAAACACCCGCATCGCCCGCCCGCCCGCCGCCAAACACAAAAACCACAAAAAACGCAAACACCGCCGCAAAAAACGCCCGTAACGCACGCACGCCCGCCGCCAACCGCAAACCGCCGCAAAAAACGGCCGCCCGCCGCCAAACGCAAACACCGCCAAAACGCAAAAACGGCCGCCCGCCGTCAAACGCAAACCCCGAAAAAAACGCAAACACCGCCGAAAAAAAACGCCCGCCGTAGGCAAAACGCCAACACTGACGCATTAAGACAAATATGGCGCCCTGCGGCATATGTGGTGCATTCATATCTGCCGTGTAAGCAGCCATTGCTGAATTACAGCGCATCGTAATCGTCCAATGTTCGACAAAGTTGCGCACATTCTGCGCTTTGCGGCAAAAATGGCGCTTTGAGACAAATGTGGCGCACTGCAACAAACATGGCGCATTCGTTCATGTCGCTTAACAATTCATCCACCCACCAAATTCTAGCCCAATCGGACTTAAACTGAAAAAGTTATGTACATTTGAATATTTCACTATAAAATATCTCCGCAACGGAGGTGCCCAGATTTGCACGTGTGCCACGTGACCACTGGTGGTGCAAGCAGGACTTCTCCCCTCACTGATTGCACCATTTCAGTGTTCCTGGTTTGTGCTGTTTTCGTGCTATAAGGCCACAAATCGGCAAACACACGATAATCTGGGAGGTACGCGACTCAAACAAGTGGCCACGTGGCACGTGCCGGACCTTTGATAGCTTCACCGTTCACGCCACGTGATGACCCATCGACGTGGCCATCAGCAGGTAGAAGATGACCCCGACCGGTGTCACCGTCTCTGAACAGTGGACGGCTAAACTCGAAAAACGGGAAAATTTAGGGAAATTTCACCTTTCGAATATATAATTTCCCCAGAATTTTTATTTTGTCATTTTACAAAAAATCAGAGATAGCAGTTTTCTAACCCCCTTCATTCTGTGTCCATACCCGTTTTCAGATCGACCCTATCATAAAAACTGACGGCCTGACGGCTATTTCCCCCATTCCTTGCATTTCACAATGCTAGTATATTTAAGCACCAAAATTGACCCCGTGCCACGGCACGTGCAATAGCACGTGCGCCACGTGACCACTAGTGCGATAAGCTGGACTCATCTGCTCACCGGCTGCACTGATTTGGTGTCGCTAGTTGAAGTCGTTTCCACGCCATAGGACCCCCAGTTGGCCAGTGTCGGATTTTCCCGGAGGTTACCCCATCAAACACGTTTGCACGTGGCACGTGCTTTTCAATCGCCCCATATCTGACCCATACCATGTGGTAGCCGACACCCCGGTGCACAACATATTGGAACATTTTCAAAATCTAACGTGGAAATTTTTGGCAAAATCGATTTGAAAATAATATTTCGAAATCGCCATAGGCTCAACATGGGGTAACTGTCCCTGCCGATTACCCTAAGGAAGTATAATTATATTTTAAACGGCCACCACCGGCAGGTGGAGTCCCGACCCGAGAACCCACCCTAAAAAAACAATCCATTTCTAACGTGGAGTTTTTGCGCAAATCGCATTTGAAATTTTCCCCCATGTTAACCCTATGGGAAAATGCACGTGCCGATTACCCCAAAACGGGTTAATTATATTTCAAGCGACCGATGCCAGCCGGTAGCTCCCCCCTAGGGGACCAAACGCTGAAAATGGCAAGAAATTTTACCGTGCCGTTTTTGCGGGAGTCAAAATGTCCCAAATCGCGGCAGAAACGCTAAACACCCCCCTAGAGAGGTAGCTCAGGTTGGGATTTTCAATAGAAAATCACAATTCTAAAGAATAGTGATTGTTCTTAATAGAAAATCACAATTCTAAAGAATAGTGATTGTCTAATTGAAAAGTCCCAACCTTCGGATAGGCCCGGGCAGCGCTTATCGAACAGCACTGCGGATCCGAAGGTTGGGACTTTAATTGTGAAAAACCGCCCGCCCGCCGCAAAACGCAAACACCGCAAAACGCGCAAAACGCACGCCCAAAACGCCAACGCAAATGTCGCAAAAAAAACCAAAAAAATCGCCCGCCCGCCGAAAACCGCAGAAAAAAACGCACAAAATGCCGCAAAAAACGCGCGTCCGCCGCAGAACGCAAACACCGCCGCCGCAAAAAAACGCCCGCATCGCCTGCCGCCAACCGCGAAACGCCGCAAAAAACGGCCGCACGCCGCGAACCGCAAAACGCCGCAAAAAACGGCCGCCCGCCGCAAACCGCCAAACGCCACAAAAAAAAACGACCGCCCGCCGCCCGCCGCTAACCGCAAATAACGAACGCCGTAAAAAAAACGGCCGCCCGCCGCAAACCACAAAACGGCCGCCCGCCGCAAACCGCAAAATGCCGCAAAAAAACGGCCGCCCGCCTCAAACCGCCGCTAAAACGGCCGCCCGCCGCCAAACGCAAACAGCAAAAATACCCGCATCGCCCGCCCGCCCGCCGTCAAACACAAAAACCGCAAAAAACGCAAACACCGCCGCAAAAAACGCCCGCAACGCACGCACGCCCGCCGCCAACCGCAAAACGCCGCAAAAAACGGCCGCCCGCCGCCAAACGCAAACACCGCCAAAAACGCAAAAACGGCCGCCCGCCGTCAAATGCAAACACCGAAAAAACGCAAACACAGCCGCAAAAAAAACGCCCGCCGTAGGCAAAACGCAAACACTGACGCATTAAGACAAATATGGCGCCTTGCGGCAAGTGTGGTGCATTCATATCTGCCGTTTAAGCAGCAATCCCTCAATCAAAGCGCACCCTAATCGTCCCATGTTCGACAAAGTTACGCACATTCTGCGATTTGCGGCAAAAATGGCGCTTTGAGACAAACGTGGCGCACTGCAACAAACATGGCGCATTCGTTCATGTCGGTTAACAATTCATCCACCCACCAAATTTTAGCCCAATCGGACTTAAACTTACAAAGTTATGTACATTTGAATATTTCACTATAAAATATCTCCGCAGCGGAGGTGCCCAGATTTGCACGTGTGCCACGTGACCACCGGTCGTGCAAGCAGGGCTTGTCCCCTCACCGATTGTTCCATTTCAGGCTTCCTGACTGCTGCTGTTTTCGTGCTATAAGGCCACAAGTTGGCTTATACACGATAATCTGGGAGGTACTCGACTCAAACACGTGGCCACGTGGCACGTGCCGGACCTGTGACAGCTTCACCGTTCACGCCACGTAATGACCCATCGACGTAGCCATCAGCATGTAAAAGATTATCCCGGCCGGTGTCACCGTTGATGAACAGTGGACGGCTAAACTCGAAAAACGAGAAAATTTAGGGAAATTTCACCTTTCTAATATATAATTTCCCTAGAATTTTTAATTTCTCATTTTACAAAAAATCCGAGATAGCAGTTTTCTAGCACCGTTCATTCTGTGTCTATACCCGTATTCAGATCGACTCTATCATAAAAACTGACGGCCTGACGGCTATTTCCCCCATTCCTTGCATTTCACAATGTTGGTGTATTTAAGAACAAAAATTGACCCCGTGCCACGGCACGTGCAATAGCACGTGCGCCACGTGACCACTGGTGCGACAAGCTGGACTCATCTGCTCACCGGCTGCACTGATTTGGTGTCGCTAGGTGGAGTGGTTTCGGAGCCATAGGACCCCCAGTTGGCCAATGTCGGATTTTCCCGGAGGTTACCCCATCAAACACGTTTGCACGTGGCACGTGCTTTTCAATCGCCCCATATCTGACCCATACCATGTGGTAGCCGACACCCCGGGGCAGAACATATTGGAACTTTTTCAAAATCTAACGTGGAATTTTTTTGCAAAATCGATTTGAAAATAATTTTTTGAAATCGCCATAGGCTCAGCATGGGGTAACTGTCCTTAACGATTACCCAAAATTTTGTTAATTATATTTTAAAAAATTACCATCATGAGGTGGGGTCCCGGCCCGAGATTCGACCCTAAAAATATAATTCATTTCTAACGTGGAGTTTTTGCGCAAATCGCATTTTAAATTTTTCCCCATGTTAACCCTATGGGAAAATGCACGTGCCGATTACCCCAAAACGGGTTAATTATATTTCAAGCGACCGATGCCAGCTGGTAGCTCCCCGATACGGGACCAAACGCTGAAAATGGCAAGAAAATCTATCGAGCCGTTTTCGCGGGGATCAAAATGACCAAAATCGCGGCAGAAACGCTAAACACCCCCCTAGAGAGGTAGCTCAGGTTGGGATTTTCAATAGAAAATCACAATTCTAAAGAATAGTGATTGTCTAATTGAAAAGTCCCAACCTTCGGATACTATTAGTGTCCTCTCGCTCTTCCCCAGCCCTATTCCCGAGTACACTACCAATTCCTCCGCAGTGCCCTGGAGAGCACCCGACGTACCGTTGCGACATGAGTCGCACACTCTCGTGGAAGTGCTGGCAGACGAACACACATCCGAGCCGCAGCTGGTCCTCCATGTCGGGTACGTCTCGCAGGAAGTGGTGGGCCACTCGCTCCAGGGCGTCCTCCGGCCAGGCCGTGAACCTGAGATGTCATAGTGGAGGGAGATAGGGTGAGGGCTAGTGCAGACAAAGTCAAAGTAACACTGGCACCAGAAAATACAGACAGGCAGGGGCCTACACCACTATAAAAAATAGATACTCTAGCTACCAAGGATGAGAGAGTACTGCCTCGAACTTGAGCACGATAACCGAGATATAGGCCAGGGTTAGCACCCATGACCCAGAGCCGATACAAAATATCGCAAGACACGTGTATCAACAGTTACGTGTATCAACGGTATTTTGCAGGCTATTGAGTTTTTTTCCTCTAATAATTCGTCTTACTTTGGATAAAACCTGTCAACAGCTATTTCCACCGATCATTATTTCTTCCATTCCTCAAAACCCCTCTGCCACACCACATGCCCCGACCCCACTAACACCCTCTCAAACATTTATTTTACCTCCCTCCCTCTCCCCGCGCCCCCACCACCACCCACCAGTCGATGGTGCAGCAGTTGATGAGCGAGGGGAACATCCTCAGACGGTTGCGGAAGGCGTCCCCGATCGGTGACATGGCGATCACCACGTGCAGGTTGGCGCGCACCAGCTCGATGAAGAAGTTGTACAGCGCCAGCGGCGCCGAGTCCACCTTACGGCCCTGCGGAGACGCGGAGGACCAGGGAGGTGGAGACGGAGGTAGGGCGGAGTTTTAATTGACTTATGGCAGAGTCAAGTTTGATATCGCTTGACGATATGGGCGTGGAGAAATTTAAAGGCAAGGACATGAACAGAATGACCCGACCACACACAAAAAGCACAAAAACTGCACATTATACACAAAAATACACATAACTACATTAGACTGTAGTTTAGCAATAGCCATAAATTGTCGTACGTTTATCCAGATTTCCAACAAACGCATAGCCACTTAAGAACATTCATTACCTAGCGCACATAAGCAGTGAAGCACCCAATGAACACACTAGGATGTGAGGTGCTTACCATATCTTTGGCGATGCCCTGCATCTTCTCGAGGATCTCGGCCTTTTCGTCGGCGGCGTACAGGTTGGGGACGTCCCCCAGGTTGAGGATCATGTTCAGATCCTCCACCATCGCCTCGTCCTTCACCTGAACATGACGAAAAAGCCGCATGAGAAGAGCACGACGGAAACGTCTAACTTGTTTTCAGGTGCACGAACATAGAGCTTTTATTTGATGCCTATCATTCAAGTGAGGGACAAAAAATCAAGAATGTATCTAGTAGAAAAGGGTTTACCACTGTTCTCCTGCATCTTATTGACACCACTATCAGCCCGCTGGCCTGACGTCTGTCTGAGCCCCAACCCTCCCATCTGACCTGATTGTCGGCGAACAGGAAGACGAGGTGCTTGCCCTCTGCGCCGGTGCGCCGCAGAATCAGCTTCAGGTCCTCCCTCCACTCCGTCATGCCGTAGCCCTTGGTTATCTCGATCTGCCAGGCACAGCAGAGGCGAGATATAGTGTTTATTAGGCGGCCCACCAGGCATCGGTTGAGAAGCAACAAATACTTCCAAACATTATGCGAAAAAGCTCAATCTACGAAACGGTAATTTTACGTCCGCATGAGGATATTCAAAGCGGATTTTGAAACACGTTGTGTACCATAGCAAGCATTTAGTGGTTGATTTAAAAATAAAATTATGTGTGGTCTCTTTGGGCAGATTTCCAAGCGAGGACCACACGCTAAGAAGAGCGAAAACACTTCAGTCTCGTTTTTGGCTATGTCAAAGGTCAGGTCACCAGAAGTCATTGAAGGTAAAATTTCGCCGATTTTCAGGTCGAATGCAGACTATTTCCAAGAAGCAAACGCTTAACTCGGGAACCAAAAGAGCTACAGCGCCGCGGAAAAGCGCATTCGATAGCCCTATTAACGCTCTTTTTGAGTTCTTAGATTTGACCTAGCGTCAACGGTTTTGCCTGCAGGGTGCAAAAACTGGAAAGTTTTTCTGCACTAACTTTTGACTCAAGCCTTCCGCGAGCTTGCCTTTACCGGCATCGTATCCCTCTCGTCAAGACGCATCGAATGAACTATAATTTGACCTTAAAAGGTCAATTTGAAAATTTGACCTCAGGTCAAGGTCATGACCTGACCCGAAAGGGTCATGTTGCAATCAGTCGATCCGTATCGTCAAGCTGAACACATCGCAGGCGTTTTCGTCGCTCTAGCGTGCCTCTAGCAAAATTTATTCGCGAAAAACTGTTAGATACCATTCGTGACCTGATATGAACTCAGGGGCATAAGCACTAAGCACTGCAGGGGGTTACGAGTGCCATTTTCATGTTCAGTGTGTCAAAGTTATTTCAGTGTTTGAGAGTGTTTATAACGGCTTTCGTCCAAAATAGGCGCCTTTCGATTTCCTCCCATTGACCTATAATGGGGAGGTCGCAAAATTGACCTGACCTTAGGTCACCGATATCAAAATTCTAAGACAAACATTTTGCACATACTATTGCTCTTATCAATCGCTGAAAGTTTCAAAGCAATCAGTCATTCATTGTAGCTATAGCAGACATTGAAATTTTTTATGAGGTGAGGTCACTTGAAGTGACCTAGTGACCTGACCTTGAATGACCTTGGTCTGAAATTTTTACTACATGTGTAGAACTGATGCGTGATAAGATGTGCCAAAAACGACGGCTATTCGCGAAAAAGCACGGGTGGTGGTGTTCAAACACCCCCCAGCAGGGCGCGGGTTTATTAATGCAGAGCGGCAATGCAGAAAGCTCCGCATGTTGTAATTCATAGCTTCTCGTGTTGTATCTAAGTTCAAGTTGCATTAACACGACCCAGTTCGCCCACATCCCAGAAAGTCAGAGTATGTTTTTGGCCAAGCTCATCTGCAAAAATCAACATTCATTTTCACTTGTATTATGTACATACATCGATGTGTGGCGTTGCGATGTAAATCCCGGGTAGTCAACTATGCGTCTGTATAGAGCGGGACGCAACATAGACAATACCCACGTCACCGGAGTTCATGCCACGCATAAGGAACATTGGTTTCACACATATATCCTTATTGCGAATAGACTTCTAAACTATCGTCCCAAGCATAATGACATGTAAGAAGGGCAAAACCTGCTAAAAATGTTTAGCCGTTACAGCAACCCAACACGCTTAAACTAAAATTAAGATCTGCTCCAATCAGCCCACAAACCATCAAAATAGAGATCGGGGTGACAAAACTTCCATTCCGGGTAATTACATGAAGTCGGAGTCGTCGAAGAAGTAGCACATCTGGAAGGAGGAGCCGCGGGAGCCCGTGAAGTACGGCTGGTGGTTGTAGATGAGGGCCGCCTCCTCCTCCGCCCCGCTGGTGAACACGTTCTCACTGCGGCGCGCCTCCGAGACGAGGAACTCACCCAGGTACTGGGAGGCGGACACCGCCGACGGCGCGTGCGAGATCTGGTCGACGCGCTCCAGCGTGGACCACTCGAAGGCCGCCTTCTCCGGGTGGAACTGGGTGCCGTAGATGGGCAGATCACGGTGCTCCAGGATGGCCACATACTCGAGGCCGTGCCGGTCCACGGCTGTGGCCACCGACCGGTACTCGGGAGCCAGACGTGCAAACGCCCCCGGCCGCACGCACTTGGAGTGGAACATCACCACGTTGGGCTCGTCAGTGAACAGCGCCACCTGCTCCGGGGTGGCGTTAGCGAACATCCTGCTCTCGAGCAGCGTCGAGTCGGACTGGACGGCCACCAGCTGGTTCTGGGCATCACACAGCTCCAGGACCCCGTGCCCACCCGCCAGGTAAGCCAGCTCCTCGTGGCCCAGACACGTACCCCACATGGGGAAGTAGACCTCCGGGTGGTCGTGCGCCAGCTCCCAGAACGCTCTGGCGGCCGAGCCGAACCCAGACGACCCGAGCAGACTGTTCCCTCCGGGCAGCAGCAGGCCGTTCAGCTGGCGGAACATGTCCTCGTAGTACTGCTGCGAGCGATGGATGAAGACGGGCGCGGCGCGAGCGCCGGCCGCCTCCACGAACTGTACGTAGGACGCCTGCACGTAGCTAGTGTAGTTGAGCTCCGGGAAGAAGCCGTCGATGTCGGGAGTCGTCTCCTGCGCCAGGATGCCGATGATGGGACGGTCGTGCCCGGCCACCAGCGAGCCGAGTGAGAGAAGAACTAGAGCGGACAGCATCGCGACGGGAGGGAGAACAAGTGGGGATCTAGTCACTGAGCTGGGTCTCTGGGTCTCGGAGCTGTGCCTCGGGGCTGAGTCTCTTGGTCTCGGGGCTTGGTCTCTGGGTTTCGGGATGGGATCTGTGTTTGTAAGTTAGACAGCAAATGACGTTTCAGAGGCAGGAGCAGAGCTCTGAGGTCGGTTCAGTAACTCGGCGAGCAGTGACGTTCGTCGCACTAGGTGGCGCGTTTTATAAGTCGCTGCATATCTTGGGCAGGCCGGTGGGAAGGCAGAACTTGTGGGCCGATAGCAGGATTTCCGGCACCCCACGAAGTGTGGCACCGACAATGCTCCGTCATCACATGATCAGCAGTACATAGATGTCCATCTAATGCCAACTTTTTGGTATAACAATGCAATGACGATATTAGCCTAGTACTTGGTAGGTGCTTTCAAATCCAATTTTTACATGTTTGTTTTATAAGGCTTCACTTGTGAATAGGTGGGATGAAGTTGAAAAAAGTTGTGTCTGTCTCAGTTTCCTATTTTAGCTCGTTTTTTAGTATCGTAGTTCCCGATGGCATTTAGTTTAGTATCGGTTTCCAACATATCATTCTGCTATATCCTGAGACCCGCTGAGGCTCTTGGATTCCCTCGCCCTGCTGGAGGGTGTTTGAATCCCCCCCCCCCTTCTAACTCTGCTCCAGGGCCACGTGGCGACACGCGGTAAGGCAGCGTTCGCAAGAGCGTCAAAAACCCTGACGAAAGTACTTCAGTCATGTTTTTAGGACAGGCACTGGTCAGGTCACCAATACCAACAAAGGCAAAATAGCGCCTATTTCGACAATTTTGACAAAGCAACACACACCTCGGAAACGAATAGAGCTACAGCACCACGGAAAAGCGCATTGGATGGCCCTTCCAACGCTCTATCTGACACATATCCTCAAATTTGAACTTGAGACAACGGTTTAGCCTACATAGTACAGAGAGCAAAACCTGTTAAAATTGACATTTTCTGAAAATAATTTTTCTGCAATAAACTTTGACTAAAACTTTGCGTGAAATTTCTTTTACCGGCATCACGTCCCTCTTGTTAAGATGCGTCGAATGAACTATTATTTGACCTGCGGAGGTCAACATAAAAAGTTGGCAAGGTCAAGGTCATGAATTGACCGGCAGAGGCCATTTGCATATCAATCTATCCGTATCGTGGAGCTGAACACATTTCTGTTTTCATCACCCCAAGAGGTCTCTATAAACCCGGCAGGCGGTGGGCCTCCCGGCCACCTTCCCCGCGGTGGGGGGGGGATTTTTTGCCCCCCCCCCCCCGTATCTCCGAAACTACTGGACGGATCCGGAAAATTCAAACGGCGTTCGATAGCCCTGTCAAATTTGTGAAGGGCAACCAAATTTCATTGACCTCGGGGTCACCGATGACGTCACAGGTCAGGTCAAAGATAAAATATTTCACCGTTCACTTGTCGCACTAGGTGGGAAAACGCTATAACACCGAGGAAAACGCATTTTGTCGAAAATCAGCGATAAGGCGTCAGTTGTCTAGTAAATATGTTGCTATCAGAGTTCACTGGTCATACCAGGTCAGGTCACAGGTCAGGTCACCAAGGGTCACCAAGGGTCACCACATGAACCCAACTTTACTAAGGTTGTGCGATGCATGTTTTATGGCCAATTTTTCATTTCCAACTCAATGTTGTTGGTTATGAGACCATCAGGTATGGTTTAGGTCACTTTCTGGTGGAGGTCAGGTCAAGGTCAGGTAAAAAAGGTCAAATTTCAAAATTGATAGTTTTGCATAAAATGGGTATTGATTCGATGTAGCTCGTCACGGGGAGTCTAATGGTGGTCTTTGTTTTGCGCTACGAGGTCTAGAATTGCAACAAAAAAATTGAGTTCAAAAATTTGAAGTCATAAATTTTGAAGTTTTTTTCGCTATAACTTGGTAAAAAAAGATATATCGATCTCAAATTTGGTATGTAGATAGAAGACGGTAGGGACTATCACATACTTATATTCCATTTTTTTTTCGAAATTCAAAAAACTTTTTGGATTTTTCGGTTATTATATTCAAAAATCTAGTTTTTGATTTTAAGGGGTTAAAATCCAAAAGTTTCAAAAAATCCGAGATGGCAGTTTTGAAGCCCTTTAAATTCTACACCTTTTATGTTTAACACATTTTTCTGTATCACTAAAGCTGTAGGCCTGGCAGCTCTTCCCGCGAAACATTTTTTTTTGGGCCGAAAATGGCAGAAATGACGTCACTCTGACGTCATTAGTGGCCAACCTATCGTAATTCGCAGCCTTTGGATTTTTTTTGTCATAATGTGCAATAGCTGTTCACGGGAGGGTACTGAAAGTTTGGTGACGATTGGCGCAGCGGTTCTGGAGATATATCGAAAAAAAATAAAGAGGGGCAAAAAATCCCCCCCCCCACCGCCTAGAAGGTAAAAAGTTCTAGCCGAAAAACTGTTTGGGACCTTTTGTGACCTGATTGACGTGGCTACAAATATGGGCCACAGGTACAATTTTTCGATTCAGTACTTTGTTTTCATCTATTACCGGGCGTTTGAGAGTGCTAAGTATGATTTTCCTAAAAAAAAGCACAGCTCAATTGATGTGTGCTTATAACAAAGAGGCCGCAGAGTTGACCTGACCGCAGTCACCGATATTTTATTCTGAGATTAACGTTTTATACATAATGTTGCCTTTATAAAGTTAATGTTTATGTTTTTTTCGGAGTTGTTCAAGAGGATAGGTACAAATATTACATACAAATATTACACCTATCCTCTTGAACAACTCCGAAAAAACATAAACATTAATTACATATAGTCCTGAGGAAAAGTTTTTTAATCATGACACTCAAGTCATATTTATAAAGTTATAAAAGTTTCAAAGCGATTAACCAGTCGGCGTAGGTGTGGCAAACATTGGAACTTTATCTGAGAAACGTCACTTGACTTGACCTGGTGACCTGACCCTAAAAGACCTGGACTGAAATTTTTTCAACACAAGAAGAGAAAATGTATGACAAGGTGTACCAAAAGGGGAGGCGCGTAGCGCTGTCGCTTTTAAGACTTTCGCAAAAAAATGCCAGATCCGTGTTCAAACACTTCTCTCCAGCAGGGCCTGAGCTAAAATAGTGGTATATTTGCAATACAAATAGAAAAGGCAATTGCTTTACAATGGCGGATACAGAAAGGCGGTCTTGGACGCTGCGTGGGGCATACCCCAAAAATAATTTCTCCAAATTCCAAACACTCATCGAATTTTGATTTGTTGCGCACTGATGAGCAGTGGAAAATTAACTTTTCCTAATAAAACTTCTTACGTTTTCGTTTTATTCTCGAAAAACGCACAATTTCGTCGATTTCGGGCGCTGCGCGAGGGCAGAAGACATTTGCCCCAAATGTCCTACCCCCACCCCCTCCTGGATCCGCCAGTGTTGCTTAACCCTAGAACGCCTAGGGGGGGGGGGTTGTATCAACCCCCCCCCCCCTGAGGTTTTTTCGAAGTGCACGCTAAACGGCTTGTCGTAGCGGGCTGAAATTTTCAATACCTTCTGGGGCAACCTTTGCGCATCTTTTGCCGAAAAAAATTGATCGGGTCATGTCAGGTCACGGAGTTATGACGTCATAAGAGGTACAGCCTCCGGCCGGATTTTCACAAACTGAGTGCCAACGCCCGAGGTTTCCTGCCGGTGGTACGGACATCGGTTGATGGATCGTGATGAAACTTCCCATGCATGTTGGGGCAAGTATTGGCTATCATATGGTATAAGAAATTTGACCGGGTCAGGTCAGGTCACGGAGCTATGACGTCACAAGAGGAACAGCGTCCGGTACTATTTTTGAAAAGCGCCCGAACCACTATTTTGCTAATTCTTGTCACCTCAATGGGAATATGCAGCAATATTAGCTTCTATAGGGAGCAAATGGACCTCCCAAATCCAAAAATACAATCAGATTTCAAAAATTTAAATTTTGATTTTTCGAATTTCTGCCGCCGACTGTGACCTTGCCGACCTCCCAACGCGCCATTTTTAGAGCTAGGGAAACGAAATACATACCAAACGATAGAGAATTAATCAAGGAACACGATAGTGAAGGTTTCAAGTCGATATCTCCCACCGTTTTGCCGCAATCGCCGCCGAAAGTTGAAAAAAGTCTATTTTTCCGAAAATTTGACCTTTGACCGGTCAAAAGTAGGTCAAATGTTGACCTAGGACCAAAAAATATACCACCAATCGCGAGATCTCGTTGAGAGCAATCCGTTGGTTTTTTCCGCTAAGCTCTACGACCTTCCGTTTCGAAACGCCAGGGGGGGGGGTCGTAACAACCCCCCCCCTGGTCGTTCGTGTTATGAGAAATGGCCTGGTCGTGCGAGGGTTAACTCGCGCCGTGCTGGTGGTCTAAGTTTTCCGTGGTGTCTGGGGGGGGGGGAGGGGTCACGCCACCCGCTCCTGGGCAAAGTAGCGACATGCGGTAAGCGGTAATCGAAAGAGCGTCAACAATAATGAAGGAAATACTTCAGTTAATTTTTTGGTCAGGTCAAAGGTCAGATCGCCAGAGGTCATCAAAGCTCCAACTTTGTCTATTTAAACAATTTTCGAAACACAAGCCGTAACTGGCGGCAACCAAAAGAGCTACAGCGCCGGAGTAAAGCGCATTTCGGTAGCTCTTTCAAAGGATTTTCTTAATATTGGTCTAAGATTTGACTTCAGGTCAACAGTGTGACCTCCAGAGCGCAAAAAGTCGAAAAATAGCCACAGCTTTTACGAAACGTTTTTCTTTAATAACATTTGATTCAAGAGAGTCACGACATTCATTTTGCCAGCATCGCGTTTCTCTCGTCGAGACGCGTCGAATAAACTATACGTTGACATTGAAAGGTCATTTTGAAAATTTGACCTCAGGTCAAAGTCATGACCTGACCGGAAATGGGGATGTTGTAGATCAGTCGATACGTATTGCGTATCGTCGAGCTGAATACATCTGACGTGTTTTCACCGCTCTAGCACGTCTCTATCAAAAGTTATAGTAAAAAAAACTGCTGGTGACCTTTCATGACCTGAGATGACCTCAGGAGAGAGGGGTCAAGGGTGCAATTTTCCGAGTCACTGTGTCATTTTCACCAATAAAATGATGTTTGTAGTGTTTAGAACGACATAATTCCAAAAGAGGTGCATTT